AGAGGGACCTGGACAGACTGGATCGATGGGCAGAGGCCAATTGTATGAGGTTTAACAAGTGCTGGGTCCTGCACTTTGGTCACAATAACCCCATGCAAAGCTACAGGCTTGGGGATGAGTGGCTGGAGAGCTGCCCAAGAGAAAAGGGACCTGGGGGTGCTGGTTGACAGCCAACTTAACACGAGCCAGCAGTGTGCCCACCCTGGTGGCCAAGGAGGCCAACAGCATCCTGGCCTGCATCAGGAATAGTGTGGCCAGCAGGAGTAGAGAGGTGATTATGCCCCTGTACTCAGCACTGGTGAGAACACACCTCAAGTACTGTGAGCAGCTCTGGGCCCTTCACTACAGGAAGGACATTGAGGTGCTGAAGTGTGACCAGAGAAGAGCCACCAAGCTGGTCAAGGATCTAGAGAGCAAGTCATATGAGGAACAATTGAGGGAACTGTGGGTATTTAGTTTGGAGAAGAGGAGGCTGAGGGGAGACCTCACTGCCATCTACAACTACCTGAAAGGAGGCTGTAGGGAGGTGGGTGTTGGTCTCGTCTAACAAATGAATAATGACAGGACCACAGGAAATGGTCTGAAGCTGTGGCAGGGGGGGTTTAGATTGGCTATCAGGAAGAATTTCTTTACTGGAAGAGTGGTCAGGCACTGGCACAGCCAGCTCAGGAAGGTAGTTGAGTCACCATCCTTGAATTTACTCAAGAAATGTGTAGATGAGGATCTTCAGGGCAAGCTCTAGTGGCCAAGATTGTAGGTTGTGTGTTTGTGGGCTTTTCTGGGGTGTGTTTTGTGGTGTTTTTTTTATGGTTGGACTCAGCAATCTCACAGATCCTTTCAAACCAGGACTATTCTGTGATTTAGTGATTTTCAGTCTGTGCTCTTCACACAGCAGGAAGCATTGGAAGAGACACTCAGGTGTCACACTGAACACCTCCCTCGTATTTAGAAAGCATCTTTGGGAGGTGCTGGTGTCAACAGTAGTTATGTATGACTTGTCAAGTCAAATGCAGATTCTCTTTTGAAATACAGCTTCCTCCAATATTATTCCCCTACTATTTATTTACTTGCTGCAGCTGTAGGAGGAGCCACAATACTGTATTAGCCCTCTGGGTAATCCTAGTCCATTAGCATCAGCACCGGTGAACTAAATTAGTGAATCTAAGATCGCTCAAACTTAGCTTTAAAACTGGATTTCCACTAACAGATCAGGGTAATAAAAATGAGTTTCATAGTCCACATGTTACATGCACTTAAAAAAAACAGAATATGACCCACAGATAAGCATTTTTACAAGAAGAAAGTTGTACTTAATAATTTATGGAAAAAGTGTACGTATGTACTTTGCATCAAAGTCAGACAAGACAATGTAAGAACAACAATTAGTGTTAAAAAAAAAATTAGGCTGAGACGAATGAAGCATATTTTAAGGAGCAAGGCTAAATAAGAATAGACAAGGCTGGCTGTGGACAGCACACTAGAAACTTAATGAAGATCACAGAATTGAAGTATGAAAATAGCTGGTGGCAAGGCCAAAATAGTAGAAGAACGTAAGTATTAGGAAAGGAAAGCAGAAATACACGATTGTAATACAATGCAATGAAATTCATGATACTCAAGCTAAAGAAATACTTAATCTCAAAAGGATGTTTACCTGCTGTAAGTCTTCACTTTCAGATTTCAGCTGGGCTACAAGAGCTCTCATGCAGCCCTTCATAGAACATAAGGTAGCCTGTTAGAAATCAGAATAAAAAAGAAAGTGAATAGTATTAAATGACAGGCTAGGTGGCTTACTTCTGCACAATGTTTTGAAATTTAAAGCTAATAATTATCTGAAGTTCAATAAAAGCTTAGTAAAATATTTTGGAAACACCCAATTGGTTTACAGCTACTAAAAGAGTGTAACTATCATTTTTGTATTCTGGACATTATACTAACTCGTAAAATTGTGCAAAATTTTCATGTTTTTATAAGAGGTCTAGGACTTGATCTAGAACTTACTACCTCAGAAGCCTGTTTTACTGTGTGCTAGACAAAAACCAATGCAAGTTAACCATGTATTGTTACCTACTGTCTGTTGAGTTTCATGATCATAATTTTTCCTTTCAAATAAACACAGTATGAAAAATAATATTAATATTTAGAATGGATACAAATACAACATTTGAAGAACATAACATCTGACAGTGTAGAGTAATTGTTGAATAATACAATAGCAACTGAAAAACTGTAATGTGTACATTGGAAATTGTTTGTGACAAAGAACAATTAAAAAGTATTAAAAAATTAAGTATGTGTTACAACTGTACTACCCATCAGCTGGACAGCATCAGCCGGACACATACAACTCTGAGGAGTTTAGTTTATGCTATAAACCCAGTAACTGCAGCCTCCTATCAGTTATTGACTGGATGATGCAAAGACATATTTTGTGAAGCCATTAATTTGCAGCAAGGATTTATGCTTTGCTCTTATCTAAAACTTGGAACAAAAAACTAGTTATATGAAGTCTGATATCCATTAATTCCTGAAATGTCTTCCTCTAGATTAGAGAGATGAAAGTCTTCTCAGTATGAAGTTATTTTAAGATCCACAGCATGGCAAGCTCTAGAGCCAGAAATTATTCAAATCTTCTGTCTTTTCAAAGCAGGGTCCTTGTCAAAAATTAGGGAACCTATTTTATAATAATTTGACGTAGTGCCCATTATGAGCCAGATACGCTCCAGATATTTAAAAGCAAGCTCCAGTCTGAAGAGGTTTGCAAAATTTCATCATACAGTAATACTATTGTTAAATAACTGACAACTTCACAAAATTTGACTCAACTACAAGTTTTATTTCAATATCCTCAGAAAAATCAGTCACAATCCATAATCATTGCTCCATAATATGTTGTGTTATACTAATTTAATGCTCATAAAAAAATTAAAGCAACAGATAGAAGTTTTACTTTCAGTGACAAGTGAAAAGTGACCTAATTTCATATGAGAGTTGACCCTATACTTGAATGATACATTCAGTTTGTCAGGAACATGATGGAACGATAGAGGTATTTTGAACTGTCTGGAGCTCTAACTTGATATTCTACTATGGAGATTTTCATCACTTGTTTTGAAAGCTATGATTAATACATAGCTATGAACTGAAATTACTACATGTTAAAAATTCTATTCTCACCTTGTTTGCCACATCTCCAAAAGTCAAGTTTGTCAGAGCCATTCCAGCATACCTTCTTAAGGTAACACTATAGTGATCATTTGTAAGTCCATACATTTCACAATCCACTTGCAAGAGTTCAGCAATGGCCTGCAAACCTCCTTTTAAAAAAACCCCACAAAAACAAACATGTAAGAAAATTACTATCTGTAGTCTAATATAATGAGTACAGTACATATATGACAAGGAGAAAATTGTATTTATATGTACAGAATGACTCTCAAGCATCTGAAAAAAAAAAGGCTCAGAAAGGTGAATAAATTGTTAAATACTGATTCAGGATCTTGAACCCTTGCTTACTTACAGCTGAAAGGTATGACAGCATGACATGGAGATAACAGGGGAAAATGGGAACATGAGAAATTACAAGGAAGTACGAAGCATATTCATCTTTTAATTCCACCTGGCCAAAATCCTGTCTGACCTAAGAACTCACACCAGTTATAAAAAGGCTATTTAGTAAATTTCAAAATTACTTATTTAATTATTATCACTGAAAACTATTTTCTGAGAAAAATACATAGAATATTTTCACTGATAATGAAAATTGGCAAAGTAAGGATAATTTTATGCATAGAATTAACTAAGTATGAACCCAAGAGAAAAACAAAAAAGCCTCTCCCACCCTGGGAAGCAATCTCCATTGTAAACCCAATACCTCTAAAATTGCAAATATTTCCACAGTAACACTGCTGTTCCAAAATTCACAATTAATGCCAGAAAAAAATGTGTAAGTGACATAATAATTTATCCACTGCAAAATGGTCTGGTTAGTTTAAACTGCATTCATCACTTAGAAGGCAACAACTGATACAAATGAACTGATGATCTGTTTAACCTAGGAGTACAGAAAGCCACATATCCAGTGAGATACATGAGGAGTGTGAGCTTTTCCAGCAACCTTCTCAAAGGAAGCCAGAGAAATATATTTGGTCTTACCAAGCTCATTCATTGCATGCCTGTGTTCTTCATCAAATGAAAGTTTCATCAAAACACACACTGCAGGACAGATTTGATGGTCCACTGGAGCAGGCACTGATCCAGAAATAAGTAACAATTAGTATTTCCTAGGTGATTTTGTCTAGATCATAAGTTTTCCAAAGTGAATCTAACCTTCAAATAAATCAATGGCTGTTCTGTTTGGGGTCTGTAACTCCCCAGTAAACCATGAACAGACAATTAGTTAAGAATGCTACTAACAAGTATGTGCTCTTGAAATATATTCAACGCTGAAAAAGAAATTAGGGAAAATCCTCAATGTACGTATTAAGAAATATGACTCCTGGTACCATGAACAGACAATTAGTTAAGAATGCTACTAACAAGTATGTGCTCTTGAAATATATTCAACGCTGAAAAAGAAATTAGGGAAAATCCTCAATGTACGTATTAAGAAATATGACTCCTGGTACAAAAGGTTATTTCTTTACTTTAAAAAATTAGGAATCCTAGTTAAACAAATAAATAAGGTTAAATATTCTGGTGGCATTAATACGCCACCTTATGTGAAGCTGTTTATTTGGATGTTATGTCCTTATGAATAATAAATTAAACCCTTTATTTCATAATTGAGAAGTTTTTTAGTTCATGTTTTTGTGAGCTAGATTCTGACTAATGCACTCATGGTATTGTCCTGCAAAATGGCTCTTGCAGTAAACTCCAACAGCCATGACGCAGCCCACTGATTTCAGCAGCACGTCTGCTGTAGACACCTACAGGCTCTATTTACAAAATGCCCTCAGCACAGAAAGAAGCTAAGCAAGCCAGAAGGTGAAATCTTTTTTTCTATCTGCTCCCTGAGAAAATCCCTATTCGCTTACATTGTCAGTCCTTTTGTATTTAATTTCTTACATACAAAATTATAACATTATGTATACTCTTATATACAACCTCATCTGCATGAAAAGCCATTTGGGATTATTTATGTAGATATGTTTCATTCTTGATGAAAATGTAAAATAGAATGAGTATCTATTCAATATTAATTCAAGAGATTATAAATACAAAATACTAGAATTATTATCTCGAAAGCACACCAATGTCTATGACTTAAATAACAACTTTATAAATAGGGTATCATATCTGTAAGAGATACTATTTCCCAACATCAGCTCAACTTAAAAAAACCCCAAAATAACCACACTTACACACACACAGAGATACAAGAAAACTCACATACATTCAACAAGAAATCAGGCTAAAGTTGTGCTTTCTGTAAATTCACTTTTCTCAATATATCCTTGACACGTTTTTACATGGCTTTCAGAACCTACTTGGGTTTTTGTCTTGGTCCATGCCTTGTTCATGTGCCTCCTGCCATTCCCAACACGTTTCACAGTAAGCACGGATCTGCTCCAAAAGATGGAGCACACGGATTTCCCGCCTGCCTCGCTTATCATCAGGCTGGGAGTGAATGATGTTATGCAGCGCTGCGCTGGCTCTGGCACGGGCCTCTTTACTACCACGAGAGTTTCCTAACAAGACAGAGTCCTTATCGTTGCCATGTAAAAGCTGGATGAGGAGAGGAAGACATCCAGACTGACGCATGGCTATGCAGCTGTCCTGGGAGCTAGACATTGCTAGCAATGTTCTTGACATGTCATCTTTATCATGAGTACCCAGCATTGATAACAGTGAATACACCATTTCCACCTGCAGGTCAAAGATGTTAAAAATACAGTTACTTTTTAAAAATACACACTGAATTAAAGAAAAATTCAATTTGAATGGTACACATGAGAAAAAAAAAACTTAATGGTGCAAAAAATGTGCTACTTACAAATAATTAAGTACTATTACTACTTCAGCATTCATAATCTTAATAAATTTTCCTTAGTGGTTAAATGACTAGAAGAAGTAGGTGACAGCTGCATGCAACTGGATTAATCTACACAACCAGTGGCAAAGACTTCTAAATCTCCATTGCACAAAAAGATGAGTTAAACATGCTAATGAGAGTCTTTCAGTTTGCAAAATCTAAAATATATTTAAAATTCTGGCTAAAAAATAAGTTCTGTATAACTCACATTTTCATATAGAGATGCTCTTCAGTGAAAAGCTATTTATTATGTCATATAAAATAGAATTATTCCAGATAAAGAACGGGAATGATTACATGGACTTTTAGTTTGCATTATCCTAACAAAATCTTACATCTCTGTGTTTTAAAGCTTTCTTTTAACACTATTTTTAAAATAAAATTTTTGTTATGACTAACTTGCATGTGAACCAGATTCTTTATAACAAATGCATAACTGAAGAGTTAAATTAACACTTTTTCAAGTTTAGAGGGATAAAACCAGTAAAGCAAACAAATGCTCATTTAATATATAAAATACTGAGAATTTTTCAAATTAGATCAAGTAATGAAAACTCAGGATTACACATTTAACTAGGAGTAACCAGACTTTTCATTAAACATAGCAGGGATTTCCTTGGCTGTCATGTGATGTCAACAACACTATTTGGTTTGTCTTTCCCATTCTGTTTTCTTCAATAATAGCTTTAGAACCAGAAATGCATTTGGTTCTTCTACTGAACTTTTTGTAGAATAGCAGGATGTAGAGGATTATTTTAGATACCACCTAGAAACTCCAAAACCCTAAAGCCGAGATAAACAGGAACATTCAAAATTGAAGCCAAATATAAAGTAACTATCAAAGGGAACTGTAAAGTAGCTGAATATGTGTTTTTTTAGAATACAGCACTTAAGGAAGAAAAGAGAGTGGGTCTGTTAGCCAAAGTTTTCTACTAATAACTAGGTATTTGCACTGGTTACCAGACCAATGAATTTGGTTTCTTCAGAGACAATTCAAATGTGGCTGAAGACAAGTACAAATACCAAATTATATATATTTAAAAATTGGATAGCAGTGGGTAAACTAAGTATCAAGCTTGTGAATGTCCACTTCTTGAAATACTCCAGGATTGCTGAAGCAACAGAGATCTTAGAATCTGTTAAACTGTACTATCACATGCAAAATCCACTGAAATAGTCTTGGAGCCAATTTTATCACAGCCTAGCACCCCAGTTTGGAGATCCTGTCTTCTTGGTCTGGGAAAAATCAAACACAGTATTAAAACAAACCACTTGGATTCTTAAAGGATAGTGCATTCCATCTGCTTTATGCATGCCTCTTGACAGGGATTTCAAGTGGCAGCCTTCATCTGGTGTTATTTGGATTTGGAAGGTAAAATTTTTGTCAGAGAATGAAGCTGAAGAAGCCACCAAAACTCTGGCCTCCAGGTTGTGGCATAGGAAAAACTAAAACAATACTTATCTGTCTGTCTCTCTGTATAGACAGTTGCCCAGAGACTGTTGCATTGCCCTATTTACAATCTTTCCATTCCATCCCATTCCACATCTTCCATTCTTCTCAGACACTAATCCTAAGCTTCTCCTAACCACAGCACAGTCAGTTCAACCTATTTCTTTGTATACTTCCATACTCAGTCATTTTGTCTGCCTTCAGGGCTCTCCCATTGTTTGCAGCTTTTAAGAATTCTACAGTTTGCAATGACAACTCACAGACAGACAGACCAGCTGATTTCACCTCCACCTGGAATACCATACAGTGCAGGACTAAAAACAGTGCTACAATGTTGTAATTTAAGGCCCAAAGTAACTGATACTATGTCAAGGTGTTACGGTTTGTAGCTGCTCAGGCTAATTGTATGGTACCAATATGAGCATCTAGAGAGAGGGTGTTCAGGACCCTGAAGGATCCAAAGGGCAGAAGGGAGAGGGGTCAGCGCTCCCCCCCATTTCCTGCCATTTTCCATAAAAACCAGGAGGGTGGGAAATCCACCCCTTCCTGTTCCCTTCTTCCTTACTGCTTGCAGGTCTTGGTGAGAGGCTCCTGCTTTGTCATCAGCTCTCCAAGATGTGCTTTGCAGGATCCAAACCCATCAGCTGCTGGGAAGTCATGGACCCTTTTCCAGAGCCAGCTCTGTGCAAGGGATCCTCTAACACTTACATCTGTGACCACTGAGGTCAGGTTTTGTATATATTTGTATATTTGCTCCTCATCCCATGTGTCACAGTCCCTTCCCTGTTCCAGTAAGCCTGTTCTAGTTTTAACTTTCAACCTTGAAGTCTCTCTTTCTTATTCCCCGTTTACCTTCCCTTGGGAGGGTGGAGGGAGGTAACAGAGCAATTCCGTTCTTTGGTTTTGGTTCACCCTGACCACCAAACCAAGACACAAACTACTGGGCACTGTTTCCCAGATGACTGTGCCAGCACAAGACCAACAGTGTCTATACTGTTGCTGATTCCAGAGCTAGTGTATACTCCAGTGGTTCATGAACTCAATTCTGTGTTACAGATTTGCACTTGTTTTCCTCTCTTTTCATGCTGCACATACACTTTGAGCACAGTCTTTTATGAACAGACATTTATCACCATTAACAGCTTACATGACTTTTTTTATTTATTTATTTTTTCTTCCATTTAATTTCTTAACATTTGCACCTGTTTTGTGCATTTGAACTCTGGAAAAGTACTCAAAGAACTGCTCAGTTTTCATTATGGATTATAAATTAACATCACAAGCTTTTTAGATATTCTAGTAATTTCTAGCAATAATTTTTTTCCTTGCTGTTACAAGTCTTAACTGATCATCAAAGTGAAAAGATATTCGTCTGTGTATTTTAAAAATTGAAAAAATATTCAAAAATCTTAACTTCAGAAAATTACTATGTGTGGACAGATTGTTCAGCTAATATTACTACTATTGGCAGAAACAATGAGGTTATTGTATTAGTAAAAATGTAGCATTAGCGACCTGGGGTTTGTAATCTTCGGTTACCTTGGTACCCAGATGACTTGTCAGTCTGCGAGGAACAGAATAGTTACTACTAGAGCTCATAACACTGGCTGTATCATGGTCCATTCGAGCAGCAGAACCCTACAAATTTAAACAACAATTTAGTATAAAAAAAAGTCTGAGTGATAAAACAACTATTGCCTAATTCAGTTTCAGCAGTGGATCACAAAATCGTACTGATAGGAACAAACTTCTCTGATTATTTGCTGTTCATACAGCTCACCATCTTAAATTTGAAGTTGAAAGTGACTATACGTAAAAGGTAGGAACAACATAATGTAGTGTTTGTCTAGACAGAATAAAAGTATGTAGTTAGTTATACTTGGATATTTAAACATGGGTTAATTTCACTCTCCTGTTTCAAGTCCAGAACACTTCATGTATGTTCCAAAATAAGTATTATCCTAAAAGAGTATAACTAGAATTATATATTGCAGTACATATTTCCTATGTAAACAAGCCCTTGTTTTCTCTTTTGACTATAGAAAAAGTTCAACGTCTTAAAGCTTAAAATGAAAACTGTATTGGATTTTCTCCATTATTCACTTAAATAATCTTCAGTGCTACAAATATGTGAATGAATTTCCAGACTTTTATGACAAGCAATCCCTTCATATCATCTTGACCTCAAACTCCATTGAGAGGATGACAGATTTAACATAATGCACATGCCAGAATTCTCCATTATTAAGTTCATTTTATCCAAGATGGTAAAATATGTAAGTTTGAAGCACTACCTATTAAAATTCAGCACAGTGTAGTCATAAATAAAGTAATTTTCCTATAATTTTCCCCAAACTGTATCAACTTTGATTCAGGTAACTATTTCCCTCAGAGCCATCATGTAACCTTGCTACTTCGAGGATGCCAGGATGCCGAAATGAAGATTAACTATGTTTCCTACTGTCTCCTAAATACTGATGTGAAAGAACAGTTAAGAACAAGCATAAGGTGTGTAGCCATCCACCTGAGAAAACAGGAAATTACAGGATGTTACATGGATCCTTGTTGTGTAGAAGCCTCTTTTTCAAAATCTTCTATCTGCTTACTTCATGTGTGTTTTCTTTTTATTCTTTATTTTCATTCACTGCTTCACTATACTTGTTATTTACTCTGTCAATCAGGTAATTTTGCCAGTTTTGTGGCACATTTCTTAACAGAATGGAGTCTCACTGAATTCCTTTATAAAGCTTGCAGAACAAAGGTATGAAAAAAAATTTCAGTTCAGCAGCAGCATAGTGAGCATAATGGAAAAGAGAAAACAGCTGAAAGTGCAGAGAAGTACATAACTGAATCCTGCAAAATCCTGGATTCAAGTGGCAGTGTTTCAATTAACACTGATGATATGAGTACAAAACCTATTAGACCCAAATGACTTGGGTCTAAATGTTATAATTTTTTTTGCACTCCAGTGAATAGTGATTGCTCAAAGTAGATTGAGTTGGTTTATCAAAAATAAATGTTATACCAAATCCATTAAACCTCCTGTGTCTGGACTTGCACTGAAAGTCAATAATCCCCAGATGTCTGTTTTAATGCAGATTCAGCTCCCTGGCTCTATCCACTGCTGAGAGGAAGGAAGATGCACATTTTCTACATTTTTATGAGGCAAAGTTCAAAACTGCATAAACCCTCAACATAAAACCCACAAATGAAGTACTAATTAGTCTCCCACTTGCATAAGTCTGCAAAGACATGACAATCCCTTCTTCCTTCCTTCCCTGTAAAATATGTTTTTCAGAAAAATTCCTGATTCATACACTAAAGATGGATGATACAGCCACAATGCATCAATTATTTAAATACATTATGCTTTCAGCCCCAAAGCAGCACTGAACTATTTTCTTCCCAAACAATAAAGCTGTCATAGAAATTAGAGTGAGAGCCTCAAGCCCTTGCCCAGATATGGCTGACAGAACTTTATTCCAAATGGTGATCAAACATATTCCAAAAGCAAAATCATGGGCTGTGCTTAATGTTTAATCAAGTGAAGTATTCTAGCCAAGCCACAATTGCTTTGATAAATTTTCTTGTACAAGACACTTTCAGAAGTGTTTAAATAATTGTACTACCCTGGAGTAGCAAAAATATTTTGCACATGAATGCAACTATTATATCTGTTGTATGAAGTTTTAAGAACTCAAATTACTAATGAGAATGTCTCAGCCACAGTTGAAAATCATGAAGGGAGTGTTCATTGGCACATGGTAAATAAATCTAAGTATTTTTAGCCAAAGTGAGAGAGAGATAAGTCACAAATTTTAATAAATATTTGTTTTAAAAGACAAGTAAATAATTTAATGTACCCCTCAAAATATTCCACTAATAAAAGGAACAGTAATAAAAGATTATTTAGAAGTATATAAATAACCCTTCAGCCCACTTCCAGGAGATTACCTCATTGATATTGCTGTTTCAAAGCTTTATCTAAAACAGTATTAAAGAAATATTAATGATAAAGCTGCTATTTGGTTTTCTTATTTTTTATAAAAGCATTTATATTTCAATAATTATTTCCAAAGTTAAAATCTGAAGAATTTTCCATAATGAAATCATGCATCTAATATTACAGTTCACCTGCATTTTATGTAGTCATTCTGGTTATCTCCCTCAAAGCATTAGGCACATTAATAATTTAAACAAATGAAAAATGCTCCCTGCATTATCAAATATTTATAATATTTGATACGTTTTTTTTAAAAAACCTTTTCCTTCCAGTAAATACATGAAAATTCTCAGGTATTTATGGACAGATGGACAGAAGAAAAGCATAGATCTTTTTTAAATGAGGAGACATACACACATAACATAAGCACTGTACATTTTGAGTATTTAATTATACTATCAATAATGAAAAGAATCACTTTACCTGACCAGTACCGCTAGTTGCCACGCTGATTTCTGCTGCTCCTTGACTTTCATTCTGCCTCTCTGTGTCATGTGAAGCTGCATCATGCTTGCTCTGAGGTGCTCTCTGTTAATACAAGAGTTTATGAAATGACATACAGAAAAGAAGCACACCTCACCATTCAAAGCCTTCTAGACTGTGAATATATGGATGCTGCATCCTCACAAAGCCACAAAACAGCACTTTGTATTTCATAATCCTTAGCCTCAAAAATTAACAGCTGAGACCGAATGTCTTCAAAAAACTGTAAGATGAAAGTGAAGCATGCCCTCTGAGGATTATAGCCCTGCAAGACAAAGGATTTGCCGTGAGACACAGAAACACCATTTTCCACCAGCTGTGCTCACATCACTATCAGAAATGTAACAGAACTGGAGCAAACAACTGTCTTCTCTACATTGCCACGTGATCTGTGCATTTACTGAAGACTACAGCAAGCACAGTTCAATTAAGCTTTGCACTCAAAGACAATTTCTGTGGGAACAGAAGGGTATCTATACTGGAAGAATCCTTCTATATTTTAAGGACAAACAGTATAGAAATAACCACTCTGCTGCAAATAAAATTTATATAACCTGATACAGATCTATCTAATGCTTTATCAAAATAAATTTTACTGATTTGAAAAGCTGGTACAGGCATGTTTCAGTTCCTTCAAGAGACAAAATTTTCTACACATCTGCATGAAAATTAACCTGATGTCCCTATCACTGACAGGGATCGTAACATCAACATGAAAATTAGGCCTTTAAATACATTTTCCTAATAAAGCAAATAGAACAACTGGTAAGTTGTGAAATGTGCAAAATACCCAACATTATCACTTTGTATATTAAATTAAGTTTCTGTGTGGCTCTGCACAGCCTATGATAGCATGATCTGCTTCATCATGCTTTATGGAAATATCTCCTTAGCTTTTAGCAAGAATATGTACTTCTCTCTGAAGTACATACAGTGACACTTCTGTAGTTACCTGGTGATCAAACTCATCCAGTAGCACTGTCATACTATTTTGTTCATATAAAGACACTAGGGTCTCAAACTCAGAAAATACTTAGTGTTGAACAGAATTTCATAAATCAGTAACTAAAAAAATCTGTGTTAAGTCATAATTTTGGGATAAACCTAAAAAAAGAAAGAAATCTGTAGTGGTTAACTGAAGGAATAAGATATATAAAAGAACACTGTAGTAGTGTTAGACAAAGTAATAACATGAGAAAATTGAAAGCAGTGATGGGTAACATTTTTCTTACATTTTACATCAACATACGGAAAATGAGCAACGCAAAACACAAGGCAAAACTCACAAAATATTTTAAGACACACCATGCTACTCTTTTAAAATCTGATCTGCAACTTTAAAATGCACCATCTCTGTCATTGTGTATGAAATGATGCTGCTATTGATGCTCATACAATGACTAAAGAAGTTGTGGTTCCTCATACAAAAGTGGCTACTCAGTCAAGATCAGGCCTTGACATATCACACACTGAATGCAGTATAATGTATTATATGCTGAATCTCTGTCTCACAGTATGTTCAATTTTAGATAAAGTGTAATTATGAGTTTGACAAAATCTCAATCTAATCTGTCTGTGTAAGTCAGGGCAGAACTTTCCAGTCATTAGGTGACAGTAATTTTCAATCCCATGTAGTACGCAAGGTACCTAGAGGCAAAGAGCTGAACTGTTCGTTAGCGAAGCTCTAACTCACTGGTTCATCTGAGGGGGAATAATACTCCTCCAAGAACACTCCAGGGTTTGGGGAAAATTTTTGAGAGCGGTGAAGAATAGTGTATCTATTGAATAGTTTTAATGCATCTACAGCACAATCGCAGGGATATTTCATTCCCTGATAAGGAAAGTTTCTGCTCTCCTTAGCACTCTGTCCATCTTCTCCCATTCATGTGCATTATGTTTGCCACATGCTATGTATGAATGAGGTGGTTTCCCATCCCCCCAAGATCTCTCAAAAATATGCCACTACACAAAGTAGTCAACATTACACCCTTATTAATTTATAAGGTAATTCTTAACAGTTACCAGCAGAGCTTATCTAACTTTAAAACCAGTATGCACATATAACATGCTCATGTATTACTGTCACACGAGTCATTGCCTGGGCTTAAATGTGGTATCTGAAAGTTCACAGCAAACGTTTTTCACCACTTTATGCATGGAAGTAATTTAAGATGAGAAGCTCTCCTCTTCATGCTGACTAGCCCAAAGAAGTTAAAAAAAAGCAAAGGCAGCAGAGAGCAGGTATTTACTGAAAACTGATTCTTTCTCTATAAAAATATAAATAGGTGTTTATTCTAGATGTATTAATGTAATTAATATGTGTACCAACATATGTATTTGTTATAAATGCATATTATATACATGTACACACGTGAGAATTATTAAGATATATTTTTGTACAGACATGTGGTTATAAAGACAGTAAAACCACAGTATGTCCCCTCTTCACACTACTGTTTAACACTGAATACAGGACCCGAGGATGAAAATGTGTAAACCATCACCACATCAGCAAAGTACCAGATCATGGAAGCAGCAGCAGACTCTGTAACCTCTACATGAGGTACAGCAGCTAGAGAACGGCACACAGGTCCCCTGAGTGCAATAGCACCACTTATATTGAGGCATGATTTTTGAAGAGGTGTAAGCTGGGTTTACAGACCTCTGCTACTTCTGAATTCTGAAATGACACTGCAGAAGTCACTATAATCAGGTATGCTTGTTTGCTCTTGCAGCAAAATGGTGGAAGACCTTACGTGCCTATAGAAAAGAGCACGTTCCCTCCATCAGGTTTGCTGTTTCCTAAGTGCTTCTAAAGCCAACAATAACCAACACTTGACAATTAGTAATTTCCACATATTCACTAGTAGAAAAATAATACATCTCTAGCTATTTTATTACATTTGCAAGCATAGTAGCCCCAATCATTTTTGCTACAACAAATACAAATCATTTTACTTAATCCCTTGTCAACATGAGTTGCCAAAGCAGCCCCATGTGTACTTATTAGAAGACTTTTCTATGCATAAACCCCTTATATATATATAAAAAACATATATTAAAAAATAATTATATATATAAAAATATATATATTTTTTAATCTTTCTGGCCAATATTCAACTACCCTATTATTTTTTGTGTGTTGCAAAGTACAGCTACACTATTATTTTCTAGATCCCAGAAAATCATAGAATCATAGAATCCTAGGGGTTGGAAGGGACCTCGAAAGATCATCTAGTCCAACCCTCCCTGCCAGAGCAGGGTCACCTAGAGTACATCACACAGGAACGTGTCCAGGTGGGTTTTGAATGTCTCCAGTGAAGGAGACTCCACAACCTCCCTGGGCAGCCTATTCCAGTGCTCTGTCACTCTCACAGTGAAAAAAAATTTTCGGATATTCACCTTGAATATTTATTTATTTAATAATTTAATATATAATATTTATTTATTTGAATGTTTATTTTTCCATTACTTCACATCAAACACAATACACATGCAAGTTTAACAAGTAAGGTGGTCACAAAGAACAATGTAACAAACAAAACCAAGCAACTGTAAGATTGAAACTATTTTGCTTCAGTTGAGACAAAGAAAAAGAAAGTCTAGTGAATCAAATCCTTTGAGAGAACTGTCCATCACAGTTTAAACAGTTTGAAGCTGGCAGAGCATAATTTCTGTGTGAAATAAATCCTTTACATTTTATCTACAGCAACACTGCCCAGTGGAAATAATTCATATATTTAAAATGACAGATAGTATGAAAGAAAGGTCTGTATCATTGTAACAAATTGGAAATATTAAACACTCATCAAGAATTTGCTTTTTTTCTTTTAAGTAATTTCAGATTTGTACCTGACAACCAAAAATTCTCTTTGGAGGGGTCTAGCTTCACAGTGGACTTCATACCTTACTAAGAAAATCTTGCGACGTATCTAACAGAAGTCTCACAAAATTTCAAGATCCCATCACTTGCAGGTAAATTACTTCAACTTCTTCTAGTAGCATTTTCAAGTAAGCAATTTCTGAAACCTTAAAAATATGCTAAAATGTGAGCCAAAATTTTCTCTGCTCATTGATTTCCAAAAGCTATTTTTATGGTGCAGTATTGTATTTGTTCCTATTCTGCAATATATACTGCACTTGGATTCCACAGCAATTGGCATCACCACAGGAGCCAGCTGTATCAGTAGACAAGCGATGGTACTTACTGTTGTTACTAAATCTTCGTAAACATAAGACGCAATTTGGGCATCACTGTATCAGACACAGTATAGAAATATAATAAATGCCTCACATTTATATATTTCAGTTATATGGACTCTGCAGTTTGACTGCTACTACCTTCCCTCCTTGCCAACATAAAGAACTTCAGCCTGGTATCTGCTGGAGGGACAACAGCAGGATGAAATATTCTGCAAACTTCCTCATTGCTATGACAACTTCCTGACACAGGTGGATCAAAGAGTCAACACGAAGAGGTACTGTGCTGAACCTGATACTTACAAAAAAGGAAGAAATAGTTCAGGACACAAAAGTTAAAAGCAGCCTTGGCTGCAGTGACCATGAGACAGCAGGGTTCAGGATTTTAAGAGGAGAGAGAAGGGCAAAGAGCAGGACCACAGACCTGAACTGGAGGACAGCATATTTCAAGTTCTTCAGATATCTACTTGGACAGCTGGCTTATATTCAAGGATGACTGCCTCCAAGGTCTAGAAAGACCCATCCAAACAAGTAGGAAATAAAGCAAGGGCAGCAGGGTATTCAATGCCTTCTTTGCCTCAGTCTTTACCAGTAAAAAAACTCTTCAGGAATCCAGGTCCCTGAGACCAGAAGGGAAGTGTGGAGTGAGGAAGACCTATCCTTGGTGCAGTTAGGGAGAGCTTAAACAAACTACATCATCTAAGTTCTAATAGCCTCACGGGTTGCACCTGTAAATGCTGAGGAAGGGGGATGATGTCATTGCAAGGCCAGTCTTTAATCATCATGGCAGCACAGAGAAGTTCCTTAAAACTGGATGTGAGTAAATGTCACTATCTTCAAGAATAGCAAGAAGGAAGTACAAGAGAGCTACAGGCTAGTCAGTCTCACCTCAGTCCCTGGTGACTGAAGGCGATGGAAGAAATGCTCCTGGAAAGCATTTCCAAACATGTGTAAGACAAAAATGTGACTGGGAACAGCCAGCAGGGTTTTACAAAGGTGAAGTCAGGCTTGACCCTTCTGCAATGAGGTGTCTAGTTCGGTGGGTGAGGGAAGAGCACATGATGTTATTTACATCAATTTTAGTAAGTTTTCAGACACTGCTTCACATAAGATAATCACAGACAAGCTGACAAGGTATGGGTCAGATAAGTGGACAGTGATGTGGATTGAAAACTGGCAGAAGAGCTGGGCACCACAGGGTTGTGAACAGTAGCATAAAGTACAGTTGGAGGCAAGTCACTAATGATGTACTTCAGCAGTCAATACTGGAACTAGTACAGTGTTTCCATTAATAACGTGGATGCTGGGATGCAGAGCACCCTCACCATGTTTTCAGATGATGAAAACTGGGAGGAGAAGCTGATAAACTAAATGGTTCAGCTGCCTTTCAGAGGGAAGTGGACAGGCTTCAGAAATAGGCTGACAGGAAACTTGTGAAGTTTAGCAAGGCAAAGTGTGAAGTCCTGCACCTGGGGAAGAACAAACCCAGGCACCAGAATAGGCTGGGGCAACCCAGATGGAAAGTAGCTTGACACAACAAGACCTGAAGGTTCTGGTGGACAAGCTGAACATGCCATTAGCAATGGACCCTTCTGGCAAGAAGTCCAACAGTATTCTTGGCTGCATTAATAAGTGCACTGCCTGTAGGCTTAGGGAGGCAATTCTTCCTCTCTTTTCAGCTGGAAAGGCTCCATCTGGGGTATTGTATCTCACATTCTGGCCTCACCAGTACAATAAAGACTTACTGGATGAAGTCCAGTTCAGGGCCACAGTGGCACTTAAGGGACTGGAGCACATGCAGAGAGGCTGAATGAGCTACAATTATTCAGCGTGGAGAAGAGAAGGCTCAGTGGGATCACATCAATGTGTATAAACACCTGGATCAGCTAATTTGTCAAAAGACCAGGCAACTTTAATTATACACACTACTGTTTGCTTCATTTATAAAACCAAATTTTCCCCACAACCTCGAGCTATGAAACTACTGTTTTTCAAAATGGAAAAATATACACCCCTTAGTAATCCAAATGCTGCTCTGAGCTTTCACAGTAGCTTTTTTGGGTGAAGACAAACCATAAAATATTCAGGTCCCACAAACAACTTGCATTTAATATACCTGTACAAGAAATGGAGTTGCCCTACAAAGTGAATTTCTACCATGAGAGCAGCTTTTGCTAATAGGAGTTACTAGTCTAGACTTTGTAATTTACAGGAAATTATCTCTCTCAAGAGATAAGCAATCCATAAAGATGCATACCAGAGATTCACATTTAGAAAGGCATGTACAACTGATTGCTCCACAAAACAAGACTCTGCCTTTGTAATACATTACACTTAAGCTTTTCACCGATATATCATTCGTAAATACAGTTCAATAGGAGCATGAAGACTAATCCAAGTATTCCACCCTCAATTCCTTGGTAACCAGTAACTCTCAGCAAGTTACAACCTGCTTATACTGACTAGTTGATTAACTTTGACATCACTATCTGATGGAAATACTTCTGTCTATTACTTCATTAAAATAATATGAATTTTAAAAAAAACAAACATTCATACCATAGTCAAAAGAAGGCAAGTAAGTAATGTCTCACTAACCTCTGCTTCAGCTGCTTGTGACTGCAGGAGCTGTCGTATACGAAGTATGTCCTTCTCTATTTGTTGAATTCTTGCCACCCTTGCCTGAAATTAATACATTTTAGTTTGATTTTGTTCAAAAACTCTTCTTACTTACAGTACAGAATGACAATATGAGGAGTTCTCTGCAAACACTGTTGACTACAAAATACTTAATTCATGTGACAATTCAAGTGTTCTTCATAATAAAACACTGGCATGATTGCAAATACTCAAAACACAATGAGTAGTTGGGTTTTTAATATAACTGATACTCACTGGATATAATATGTTGCTGTAGAGTATACACTCAGATATAAAAAAATGCTTTAGTGAGCTTGTACAATTTTCCTGATTCTGAAAATGACATTTTGTGGAGATCTTCAGCAAATTACGTTCATCTCAAATGTTAGAATGCTACTTGTCTTAGAGATATGTGAGATACTTGTATTTGCAGATTGTCTTAAAGGCATGAAATCTGGAACAACTTCTATTATGTTCAGTTACCATAACAATTTGGAAGCTGCCAGTGTGTGCTGGAGCCCAGAAAGCCAATTGTGTTCTGGGCTGCATCAAAAGAAGAGTGGCCAGCAGGGCCAGGGAGGGGATTCTGCCCCTCCACTCTGTTCTGGTCCAACCCCACCTGGGATACTGTGTACAGGTCTGGTGCTCTCAGCACAGGAATTGAGCTGTTGGGAAAGGGTCCAGAGAAGGGTCATGAAGATGAACAAAGGCCTGGAGCAACTCTGCTATGAAGACAGGCTGAGAGAGTTGGGGCTACTCAGCCTGGAGAAGAGAAGGCTCCAGGGAGACCTTATAGTATCTTCCAGTGCCTGAAGGGGCTACAGGAAAGCTGGGGAGGGGCTTTTCATCAGAGAGGGTAGTGATAGGACAAGAGATAATGGTTTTAAACTGAAAGAGAGTAGATTAAGGTTAGACATCAGGAAGAAATTCTTCCCCATGAGCGTAGTAAGGCACTGGAATGGCTTGCACAGGGAGGTTGTGGAAGCCCCCTCCCTGGAGGTGTTTAAGGCCAGGTTGGATGAGGCTTGTGCAGTCTGGTCTAGTGGGAGCTGTCCTTGCTCATAGCAGAGAGGTTCCTTCCAACCTTAACCGTTCTGTGATTCTGTGCTGTACAGCTGAATTCACACAGGGCACCACCACTCCTGATAAACCACAACGACACAGCCATACAGCTTCCAGATCTAAGTCAGTTACTATCCAGGCAGATTAAACCTGGGTCTGCCTGAGTACATTCATATAGACAAATCTCTACACAGCCTTTATGTACATACCTGACAATTGCAGAGTATCTGTTTTGTTAAATACTTACAACATACAAATGTTCTAAAAAGTCCTACAAATAACGCACTTTAAAATTTAAAGCAGATTTTCTATTACAAATAAAATTAATTAGAAATTACTCTCATGTAGCAAAACTTTGTGTAGAGTAAGCCTAGTAAGAAAAACAGAGCCTAATGAGACTTTTCATTGACAGGACTTATTTTTGTAACATTGATCACAAAAAACCCCAAATATCTTACCAACCTTGTTAACATCTTTGAAAATAACAATAATAAAGAAGTTAAACTGTGGCTCTGCTATTGTGGGGGATTAGTTTTTATAACAAGGAAGCAACTGAGTCCATTTGCAGCCTCCACACAAATACATTCTAGGTAATACTTACAAACATGTGTAATGTGATTTGCATACAGAATTGTACATGTCCTCATCATGAAGACAAAACCAGTCTTTGTAGAAGCAAACAACTTCAGATAAGTATGCGAATTACGTTTTACTTGACACTCCAGTGCAGATGTATGGGTAGATTAGGTTATGGTAGGTGGGTTTAGGTTATGGTTGAATTTGATGATCTTCAAGGTCTGTTTTAACCAGGATGATACTATGATTCTGTCATCCTGTTTTCAAAGATTATTCCTTGAGACATGGTTTCTGGTTGAGGAAACCTAACAACAGTAACTAGATTTTATTTTAAACTTAGAAGCATGAAAAAACCCAGCACAACAGATGCAAAATAAAGCATTTGCAAATACATGTTTGATTGAACCTAAAAAGATAATCAATTATAAGCAAATAATAATTTAAAAAATCTTTTAAAGAAATCGTCTACTTCTGTCTGCTCACAAGTATTCTTTTAAACCAGCTCAGGAGGGTACTTCTTGCTGGGTAGTTATTTCTTAAGTTCTGATTCCTATTTTTGTATTTGAAAGGCTAACTAAATGACCTGAGGTATCACTGTGTTTGCACACAGTTTAAAAATGTAACTACCAATACTTAAATAAAAACACAGGAAAATTTTTTCTATTCCTTCTAATAATGAAAGACAAACTATACCTGTGCTCGCTTCTCCATGTCCTGACAAGTACCTAGTTGCTCTTCCATTGCAGCTCTGATTTGCCTTGCCTCATATTCCAGCTGCCTTCTTGTCATATCTGTTTGCAAGGAGAACTGAAATGGAAGCACAGAGAAGGCATTTTAGTAAATAACATCTATATAAACTATGTGTTCTCTTAACAAGAGCAGAAAATTAGTTTTCCACACCAAACTTCATAAACAAACAAAACATTTAATATTAATAGATCCTTAAAATATTACTGTATCATTAAAAACAAGAACACATACTGTTCTCCAACAGACTACCTGCATGTTTTGCCAAATGACTAAATGTAATAGATAGACAGTCTAAGACAGTATCATTAATTTACAAACATGGAACATCTGGCTATGAATGTATCAGCATACCAACTGTTACATGTGCCATCTGAATCAGTATTTTCAAAAACATTCAGAGGTATCTTACTCCTGCACATAGTGATGGTATTCTTACTACTGCCATCTACCCTATTTTTAACTACCCTGTGAAAAAATCAGAAGTCCTTAATCCTGGAGCAACAATACAGTTTAAGGGAAGCCATTCCAACTGATGACATTCTTAAGAAGAGCTAATCATAAGAAGAGCTATGTTAATTCATTACATTTGAAAACGGGGAGACAATCTTAAAACCTATAATAGAGTGACACAGCTGACAATGCCTTTGGGAATGTGTTGTGCTTCCCCAAGACCCTTTCCAGATTTTCTGCCCTTGCTTCTGGTGCTCTGGTAAGCTCAGCCATGACTAAGTAAGTCCAGCATGAAAGTGTTTCCATTGTCTCTTTCCATTTCCATGAGGGTGACTGATCAGGTATGACTCTAAAGATGGGCAACCAGGTCTTCCCAACACTCTACACGTGAAGAAACATACAGAAAATATATCCAAGCTGCTGAGGTCTGACAACAAGAAAACCTGTACTGTCTGAGATACAAAACATCTTCATTATTGCAGATAATTGTGACTTGGCTGTAAATACTATTTTACCTTGGAGATGCTAAGGTAAAAACTCAGAACAAGAATACCTGCAGAGGCTATTAACACCACTTTACTTGCTGTTATGAATTAAGTGCTCCTGTGTAAACTGTCTCTTAGGCTCATACTGCTCTCAAAACTACAAGAATCCACTAAATAACAGAACAGATCAAGAAAAGACTTTTAAGGGATAGAGTGAAAGAAGCAGCATACTGATATGCAATTAATTTGTCATAACAACTTCTCAGTGTTCCTTTCCATTGCTGTCACTTATACTGATAGGCATGAAATTTAATGTGTAAAATTATGTATGAAAAATGTATTAGTTAGGATAAGTCAGCTTTACATAGTTAATAAAAATGTTTTAAATTAAAATGACAGTAGACCATTTCACCAAATACAAAAAATTTACACAGCATCCAAACAGAGATCATAGCACCCAATACTTGACCAAGCATACTAAAGGTACTTACGTTTTCAGTAAGGGGGAGACTATCAATCCTTTTAGTCAAGTTCTGGAGCTGGGCATAATACCAATCCTTTTCTTTCTCTTCCTTCTCAAGCTCCGCAAGCAAAAGAGATCTAAAAAAAGACCAAAAGTGGGAAATATCTCAATATTAATACATAGTTTCCACATGCAGACATAGAATACCCATGGGCATCAATACTCATAGAAAAGGTTAAACAAGAAACATGGGAAGAGGGCACTAAGAAGACACTGAGTAGTTCAGTTCCCTGACCCCAGCTAAACAACCTATCCACTCCTCTATGCTAAGCAAGTCACTAGTTTCTTGTACATCCACATGAATAAAAGGGGAAAATACCTAAATTTCTCTACAAAACTATTTTAAAATCTAAAGCTAATTTTGTGAAAGCAAAAAACAGTTACTAGTTGTGTGCAAACTTGTACCCTGCCCCTTTCTGACCATATGCTTTGTACAATGCATCAAACTACACTTAAGAAAAGGCCTGAACGTTACAGGAACATATACACCCTTGAATCACATTATGAAATTAAATTATCTGATCTTCCTTGCCAACTCTGCCAGCTGTAACAAAACTGTGGGTAAAATCAAGCTACTTCTATGAGTATTAAAAACACTTTATAGTGAACATTTGCAGCTGCTTAAAACATTTTAAATGGGTATTATAAGCCTATTGCATACCCAAGTAGTATATGAGACAGATAAGAAGATTAATATATGCAGAGTACCAAAAAAAAAATTCTATTAAACACTTTGCATACTATTTTCTTAATCCTTCATGAACCATATTTATACAGTTGCAAAATATGTCAATATAGTTATATGGTACTCATTGCAGCACTCTTCAAAATACGTATAGTACACAGAAAAGCCAATCTTGTTTTTTGTATTGTGCACTTTTTTTTTTAATAAATACAAGTTTATTGTTTTCTTATAAACGGTTTCTTTGAGCACTCTTCTTCCTTGTGGCATCTTAATATTGCTCACTGATATTAAAAGAATGCTAAAATCCACATTTAGCCAACAGACAGAAAGGTGCATACAAGTTTTCCCAATATTATTTCCTATCACTTCCACATCCCTTTCTCTATAAACTTAGGTTGTGATCCCTGACCAAGGAATATGAACCTTTGGAAAGCACACACACGCATTATGGATAATTGCTGCACATCATTGAGAAAAAAAACACAGCAACTAACAAAAACACAAATTTTCCCTACTTTGATAATGCACGTCAGTAATTATTTGAGATTAAGATAATCAGACTTCACGTGACAGAACTTACTGTGGAAGAAAGAATTTAAAAGTATGTATTTTAAAGGATCTGTTTGATTTAGTTCCTGCTTTAAAAACATTTCAAACTAGTCTTGATGACCTAATATTTATACTCTATAAACAAGACAAGTGACCTGACCAGTATTCAAACTGAAAATTGAAAACAGACAGGATCCCTCACTTCACCTGCCAGAGAATGAAAACTACACACACTTAAGCATGCTAAATGTTTCTAGCCATGTGCAGTATAACATATATTTCCAGTTATGTTCAACAGTCATGTTAGAATTGTTTTCAGGATATCAAGACTACACATGAAGTAATTTACTGGGCAGCACTTAAATCTGAAAGGTTTATAATAAAAATCTATGAAAAGAAGGAATACCTACCATTCAGTTGCAGGTAACTGCAGCAGGATTACAGGAAAAGACTAATTCTTCAGCCACAAGGATGGAGCTTGCAGGAATTCTCTAAATCCTTTAGATATCCTTTAGACAGACTGAAGCTAATAGGTGGTGCTCAGGGAAAGCCTGTGATGAAAGCTAATTTTTTTGGCCTCCTACCTGCCCATCTTATTAACACATACTCTGGGTGCAAGTTCTCTGTGCACAAAGGCATTCTGTATTGCCTCTCCATTTTCCAGCTTAGGTGCAAATCAAATTTGCAAAAACGTAATTAATGCAATCCTTTCTAAAAAGTATTTTTAACATATGAGGATTTGTAATGTGAAAGGACTGACTAATTCTTCCTCTGGATGTCAAAAAACTGGTAGTAGAAATGAGAGCAATTACTATAAGCTAAATGAACTTGTGATTAAGTTCCTCCTGTAAAATGTATGCCATTCAGTTTGTGAGACCCTGTGTCATTCAATCTGTTTTGACATGCACAAGGGATGCTAGAAGCAAGAAAAGAACTTAGGAACCATCACTGTTCCATAAACAACATAATGCATGACCTGAGGGTGACTCCTTTAATTTAATAATGTCATTTTTGCTTCTGAGTAATGCTTTATTTGGCATTACTTGTATGCTATCACTGCTCCACAAGAATTCAGGTTTTAACAATGTCTTTAAGGTCTCTCAGCACAGATCCTCAAGATTTGGCACAAATGTAGCAGGTTGCACATCAATTTCCTTGAAAATAAGAAGCAAGTCTCTGTAGATGTGTCTCATTAGCTGCTGTCCACACTTCATATTGCTATCAGATATTACACCAATCAGAAGCATAGCTCCTTTTCAGACTTCTGAAACTTCCGGAGGTTAGCAGAACATTTACTGTGGAAGAGCTATTACTGATCATGGCAAAAAAATGAAAGAAAAACCTAGCACAGTTATTCTATCTTTCTATACCCCAAAATTGTTTACATCAGGACTTTCACAGTATCAGAGAAAATTCTGTTCTCTGTCATACACTGTCAAGTTCAGAGAGAATACAGCAAGCTTTTAGAACTTTCGTCTTTTTATCCGTTAATAAAAAGTTTTCATTTTGAACTGCTTTTCTGAGGGTTTGGTATTTCAAAAGACTTCTCTAATGTGGTATTTTGAAGCTTCCAACAATATATGAAGCTGAGTGAATGTGGAAAACTAATTTCTTCTTTTGGAAATCTTTTCTGCAACCTTATGTCAGTGTGATTCCCCATTGAAACAGACAAGGGAAACAAACTATATGCTACTCTTCTTGCATGATGTAATTATAATTAAGACTTTCACTTCACTTGGTAGGTGATAAAAGAAAATCTTGACATGAAACTGCTGTTAGACACTGTAAAGACATAGGTAAGTCATACAGCCAAGCAAAGGGAGGTAAGAGTAGGAGGAGAAAGAAGTAATAAGACAGAGAAAATGGTCAAAATCAACACTATGAAAATAAAAAAGGAATGGCATAAACCAGAAGGAATAAACTAGGCATATAAATATTTTCATAAAAAATAATAATAAGATTGTCACCTGTAGTGGTAAATTACAGAATACTCAAATGTGAAATTACTAGATTTACTAAACTGCAAAAGGTAAACCAACACAAAGAAGTGACCCACAGTGTACTGTGAGAAGTTTTGTTGTTGATACACTGTCTTACAAATACACCCGGAAATAGCCACAAAGAAAGCAGAAGATATTTAATGAGTAGTGCATTCTAAATCGGCAACCCCCACTTTTTTCTCCTTTATTTTTCTTACTTTGAAATTAGATGAGAGCTAAGCAAATGAGAAACAGACAATTTAATCTTCTTTCTGGTAAGTGAATATTCAATTGAGTAATAATCTTCCCATCAGAAGACCACTTTTAGCCAAGGTAAATAATATTTTCAATTCTTCTTGTTTTTTACTTGTTCACATTAATAAACATAGAGCAAATTAGTTTTCTTAATAAATATCTTGTCAACTTGCCAGGTTTACACACACCTGATGTGTTATCTGGTCCTTGCCCAAACACTCTTGCCCATGAGCATCACGTATTGTGCCAATGTGTTAAGATACTGAGCGGAAGTGTTCCCTTGCCATAAGTTTTAAAAAAATACAATTTTCTTCTAAATAGTTTTTCTTTTTGGAGGCTTGTCAAGTTCCATGAGTTCTTTCAAAGCTGTTTAATTAAGTGCCTAAAAAAATCTATTAACATGTTTATATATATGTTTAGAAACAGAAAGACTTAGTAAGTATACCAAACAACTTCAGACACAAAGCATATGGAAAATAAGTGGTTAATTTTCTTTCAGATACTGTAGTGATTTTAGAAGTGTGATCCTGAACACCCCACCCCAAGGCCTAATCAATTTGACTACCCAAGGTCCACATCAATCTCATTTCCCCTGAAACACCATGGAGAATAGGGCAGTTTGGATTATCCACCATTTCTCTAATAACAAAGCCAGATGTGTGTGATCTGGCCATGCATCTAGAGATCATGTTCTCCACAGAATAAATCTTTTCCCCATCAGCTGTGACAGTAACACTGCTCATCTGAAAGCTCATCTGAAATGAAAATATCATTATCCCTTTTTTCAGCATTATTAGGATTAAAAAGATGACTTCACTAACCTATCTTTATTGAGGAGAAAAATGTCCAAAGAATTCACCAGAGTGGGAAAGGACCACAAATAATGAATCAGATGTGCTAACCACCTTGAGGAACTCCAGCTGCTATAAATTAATACTCCTTGTTCCAAGTGACCTGGAGTTTACGTAAATCACAGCTGAAAGTCCTAACTGCACATAAAAGATTTTAGTACCACATGCAGTAAAAAAGAGCACTGGAAGAATACAAGCAGGTACACTGTTTTTTTAAGATGGAAAATGACAGACACATTGGATTCTTGAAGACTGGGATAAGCAAGTGGGAAGAGATTCCTAAATTCCTAAAAATTCTTATGTATCTCCTCAGGAATCTAAATTTTATGCAATGGAACTAATACGATCAGTGATCCTGACTAGGAAAATGAAAAAGTAGAGTGGTTCCTACAAGTTCAGTACAGACCCGGGGGAAGTTATTTTCATTCAAGTGATAGGGCCAAAAAAAAGGGACGTAGACATAGTTCTTTGGAGGAAAAACTTCCATCTCTTTACTGCAAAAATTTTACTGAACACCTGGAAACACCCTTGAGAGGAGGGGTTGCTGAAGGGCTATCTACAAACTACCAAACTTCTGTACTTTACCTCTGAAAAGGATTTTTTTGCTTGTTAATGGCATAAAAAAACTGTGTTGGTGCTTACTTGGTTTTGCAGCGTCCAGCTTGACATTCTATCCACTAAGTAGCTGTCAATGACAGCCTGTCTTACAAACACGCCTCTGAAAACATCTGGGATTTCTGCTAGTTTCACTTCTAGATACAAAGATGCCTTCAGTGGAAACAGCTGCATGTCCCTGGCTTTGCATTTCCCTTGTGAGGGATTGATAAAATGCTACAAGTACCTATTATGTCATGAAAGTCTGTTCTTCCTGTTAAATGGAATACCACTACATTCCAAGAAAATAAATTCTATGACTTTGTCAACACAAAACATCAGATAGGAACCACATCTTGAAGATAAAAGTAAGTATTTCTGTTTAGTGGAAGTTTTTCTTGAGAGAACAGAATCACTAGGTAAATACCTACTAATAATAAATAACTGATCAGCCAGCTGCAGTAGTTACAATTTCCAGTAAAGAGATTGCACCATCACATTGTTACAATTTCAGCACTTATCAACAGCGGTGAAGAGCTATGGAAGTGTTGGGATGCTCCACCCATCTCCTCTCTAAATGTATGTCAGATACTGACAATCTGCTGATAAAAATAAAATAACCTTCAGCCAACACAGTGCAGCAATGAAATTCATATATGAGGAAGCAGCAAAAACATCTGTTGTGTTTTAAGATTTATTTTGTGTGTGTGCATGCATTTAAGTACAATGTAGATTTCTTGTTTCCATACCTGTCAAGATTTATGTACCAGTGATCAAAATCATATGCATGACTGCTAAATATGAGCTGTATCTGTAAACTTTCCTCTTAGAATTTAAAAATTAGAAGTAAATACCTACTGGATGAACAGAGAAATTTACCTCTCTTTTTCTAGCTCTTCTAAATATCCAGTGCTTTCTCTGCTTCCATTCATAAATCCTCTTCTTGGAAATGATCCCATGGGGACAGGACTGCACTCTCCTGAACGGCTCGACACAGACCCTTCCCGGCTCCCATATGAACGCACAGACACCTTTGGCCTTAACTTCACTCCAGGGAAGTTGGTACCTTCCAAGTTCAGCTCTGGATAGTAAAGAGCAAATATTTTTTAGAGTTGAAAGTTCAGCAGCACAAATTTTAAAAATAATTTCCCTTTAATTTCTTATTTCCTAAACAAATCCACGATTTTTTGATGGAAATCTTTTGCATGGAAATCCGCAGAAGAACACAATGTGATCAGAACCAATCCTTATGGTACACTTGGATAACACTAGTCATCTTAGCAGATGGCCAAACTGCAATCCTGACAATCCCCTCATAAGCTTGCCTCCCTGCTTCCCAGAGGAATTAAGAAATGGGCAGAGTTTTGCACCAGTGTCATATGAATTGTTTTCGCAGCCCACTTCCTTAATACCTTCTTTCTCAGAGATCCTGCAGATTCTTCACAGTCACGCAAATGATGACAACTCTGTTTGCCACAGGGCCTTCAAATATAGACAGCCCCTATGATATTTCTGGTTCAGTGGCAGGGGTCACACATGTATACAGGGAGTCTGGACTTTCTTTCCACATTCCGTATCATGGGATGCTGCAGATTCCAGCACATGCTATAGGATGCTATAGGGCATAATTTTGCAGCATGACAGATACAATTCCAGCAACAGGAGGCAGGGCATGCAAACAGGTTTAGAGTATTGGTTGAACTAATCCTTCATTAACTTAAACGTATTTTTTCTGAATAACAAGCAAGTTTTATCAAAAGCAATTGATATGAAACCCTAGGGTAATAGTAGCAAAAGTATATAAGCATGGTAACATACATATTTTGAGAATGTGTCTTAAAATCTCAGCAAAAATAACAAGCACTGAGACTATGCCTAACCATCAAGGTCAGCACTGGAAAAAAAAAGGCAGTTGAATTAGAAAATTTTATCCCAAAGAGAAAGCAACAGAGAAACATATGAACCTGCTTAAAATGTAATTCTAGATTTACCTTTAAGTCGTTCCAGTAAGTCAATTTGTCCAGAAGATGCCATTGCCTCATCTTCAATACTTCCTTGTAGCTGTTTCAGCACCTCCTGTAAATAATCAGGCTTAATTAAGAAATCCTTACAATAGTAAACCAAAAGGTAAACACATCTTACCCCGCCCTCAAGTGCAGAGTTATCTAACAGCAAGCAAAACACTGATTTAAACTGTATTTCATGTGAGCAGTGATCAAGTGTCATAACTGTAACTAATGTAAAATATGTGCTACAGTACTTCCCAAAGCACTGTCACAATATAAAGTATATCCTCAATAGCTCATCATCTCTGGTACTCCCATCTATTGGCTTATTTAAAAGCTCTTCTCAAAGCAAATACCAGCTATTTTGAATTTAGATAGAGAAATGGAAGCACAGCTAGTTTTGTAAAAATAAAAATTGGATACGTAACTAAAAGTTATAAATTACCTTGAATACTATACTTTCTAACCCTTAAAGATACCAGAGTAGAAGTAATTCCTGGGATCTATATTCTGTTAGGCTTTAACACCACTGTAAACGAGCAATGACAGGCATATTATTCTTACTACTACTGCTGTCATCAATGCTACCACCACAATATACTTCTAATGCAGGAGAATACTACACTGAAAGGGGCCTGCAACCCCCAGGTCCCTAATACTCAGTGGCCTAAATCCAGGTAGAAAACTCAATACAAGTCAGTGAATGTCTTTTCTATATCATAATGGTAAATACATCAATAGCAAAACTAAACTGAAAAGACTGGTCACAAAGCAAAAAACTCATACAGGAGTTCAAAATACAGTTTTTTATGCTGTAACAGAAAACATTTTTAGAAGCAGAAATAGTCAGGAAATTAAAATAATTCTGAACAATGAAAGTTACTCCATACTTTTCATACATAGATTCTACACCCAGAATTGTATTTCTTTTCAGACTTGAAAACTGATTAATTTTAGATGTTTTAAAAGATCTCCACATCACTGTTTTGCTCTTTAAGAGGCCAGCATACCCTACTGTCAACATTAATGGGTATTGCAACTTCTACAGAATGTTCCTTTTAAACCCATTTTGTTCTTTTAAAAGGTAACAAAATGGCATCTACAAGAAGTAAAAAATAGTTTTAAAATAGATGCACTACTGAGCTTTTCTATATTCGAAGTGTGACTCCTTGTACCAAAAGGGTGATCTTGGACCAAGAACTGAATTTTGTTCCAATCAAATCAAGCTAACAGTTAATAGTTATGACTGCTAATGGGCATTCACACCATTGGGACCAGGCTGGAGCCACCCCAAACCCAAAACCCCCTGGATCATACACAATATGCATGCTGGGTCCTCAATATGATTTGTTGACCCATCTGCTTTTCCTGTACTACCTGTTAATGCCAGCACAGCCTTTAGGATCAAGACTGGTGTAATACAACCACTACTCTTGGAAAGATCTCTCCACTGTGCTTCTGTTCTTAAGCACATTCAAGGGCATCCTCATTAGCCATATGACCCAGCCATCTCTATACATAACATCTGTCTTGTCAGCAAAGTCAGACAAACAAGCAATCTGGAGAAAGAAGGACTCCTACATTATCTGACATACAGCCATATAATATTTGCAGACAGCAGTCCTAGCATAAAAGCCTAAAAGGGCAATGTGGATACGTGGAGTGTTCTTGGGAGTTTTTCCAGCTTCTGAAAGGCCTATCAACTCAGACAGATTTAGAAATAACTAATTAATCCCCTTCCTCTGAGAACTGCATGTTGGTGCAGGGAAAAAACACAACCCAAACATTCAGCTTCTCCCATTCCCTTCTTAGAAGCCTCTTTCAGCAGTTTTTGCTATTTCAGAATTCTATGGTCAGGACACTTTCCTAGATACTGACTCACTCTGCTTGAAGAGCCAATATGAACAGCTAAGTGGAAAGACTATCACCTTTTCCTGTGCTACTGAACTACATGATTGTAGTGCTGGCTAGGGGATGCTCTTTCTGAATACTGGCAGTAGTTGAACATTAGCATACTGGATCAGCCTTCTCCATTTCTCTGCTACAATTCATAAACTTAACCTTGCAACTTTTAGGGTTTTAATTATCCCATTTTTTTTCAACAGCACATGCATTTTTTTCAAGTTAGGGTATAAAGTGTTCTTTTCTATGCTTTTCTACCCTTTTTTTTTCGGCAGCACAATATCATTATGAGGCAATAACATCAGCTTCAAACTCAATCACGACAAATTTTGAAATCTAAGCTGATACATTAGTAGTGGTTTATAGTATTATTCTAAGCAAATTCTTTACTGACTCAGTAGTGACTTATTGAAAAAAATACATAAATATAAGTGTATCTATAAGGAAGGCTGCAAAAATGTTTTTCCACTCTTTTAAAGAATGTAAGTCCAATTACCTCAATGGGCATTTAAATACAACCTTTTTTATCTTGTCCTGTGGAAGTATGAAAGAATGCTTTTGGAAATGAAGCTAGCCCTTTGATTCATCATAATTTAAAAAGGTTTCTGTCTGGACTGAAAAGTACAGAAAAGATGTCACATTGTTTTGTTTTGGGTTTTTTTGTTTGGTTTGGTTTTTTGTTTCATTTAGACTCTATGAATATGAAACCTTACAACTACTTTATGGAGGACTAACTAAAAAAGATTTGACTCATCAGCAACAAAGTGGAAAATTACTGAGAAGAAAAGCACCTTAACTAAAACAACATACACCCAGCTAAATGGTGAGAGTAGTAAATTAAATTGCTTAAGGGCTGTGAATTTACTCAAGCTTCTAATAAAAAAAGAAATCACAGAGGACAAATTCTAACAGCGCCGGATTACAAATCCAAATGACTTTAAGATTTAAAAGCATCCAGAGTTTTTGTGAACTGTAAGCATCAACACACACATATTTGTGTTTGGAAATATTTCAAAAGATGGTATCTGTAAAAAGACAATGTTGTTTAGACATATATGGCTCCTTTGGCAGGAAGAGAAGCTCCAATGACAATTCAGACAAATGAGATACATTCAGTCTTTTGTAAACGTTACTTGCTTCCTTGATCCCTTCCTTTTAATAGAATAAACTTCATTACTTGTACTCTAAAAGTTTTGTGTATGCAGTGAATCCCAAAATATATGAAAATCATAATGAAAATTAAATATATGAAAAATCTGACAGCAGTATGCCAGATGCACTCACAGGCCAGTATCAGCTGCAATAATAATCTGACAGATGTTTTGAAATTTACTGGATCTTTTAAAAGCTAAGCATGGGTCTACACTTCAAAAGATTCCCAACAGAAGCTATTCTATCAATCCTTTTTCAGTAAGACACTTTTCGTATCTGCTCCTCCTTTCTAACTAATAATTACACTTGAGCCCATGTGAAAAGACATTCCTGTCATCTACATATATACACACATACATTTCACTGTGGGATTTTTGTGAGTGATTGCAAATTAATGCCAAATTGAGTTATCCTTCAGTTTCAGGTTTTTTTAGGTTACACTTACAATGGATACCACTATATTTACAACATTTGCGTACTAAAGCCAGGTTTAACTGCACAAATATAGAAAGATTTTATAATTTCAGATGGTAACTGAACATCTACCTTAGCATCATATAGGATGGAATATGCATACTGAATGACTCAGAAGTAATATTTTTAACCAAGTCAGCAGTACTTTTAAACAATAGTGTTTGTCACAGCATTTGTACTTACATGCTGAAAACTTAATATATGATTGGACTCTAAACTGAAAATTATTTTTGAAGCTCAACTGAGTGTTATCCATTGTTTCAATGACTGTTTAAAAAGGCAGGAAAAAAGGTGATGTATACTAAAAGCACAACCATTACGCAAATTTCACAAAAACATTAGATGTTGAAATAGCTAAGCAGAGGGGATGGACACCAGAATACTGTTGTCTATGCATTTACAGATAGCTTGAACTGAAGCTCAAGGTCCTATATATATGACTCTTCATAACTATATGCACTTGATGATGCCTTAATACTATCTCACACGGTACAACACTCACAGGGGCCGAGTGAGAGCTACAGAAGAAGCCCTTTACTCCTGTACCTTTTGGTGAATGACACTGCTTCTTAATCAAGCTTGGCAAGAATCCTTGTAATTGCCTGAAGTGCCAAGCAACCACTCTTGTTGCTCAACCCTATAATCAGGTCCAAGTGATAACAGCAAAGATGACAGCACTGCTGACCGAGGTGAAACACTGGAGCAGCTCGACTTTTAACCTTGTAGAAAGAGGAAAGCATTTCTTATGTGAAATGATGCTGTTCATTTTAGTTTAAAACAATGTCATTTTCTAAAAGAAAAATACTCGCTTGGTGCCACCATGCTCAAGAGCTGTCACTTGCTGTAACCACATACTTAAGCCAGTGCTAAATTTTTAGTGCAAGCCCACTGGCAGATCAACTAACTTTATCTGATTTTACGCTCAGAAAGAATGCTGTCTGATGTGATGTCAGTAGCTATATAGATCACCAGCTCAGTATCACCTAAATTCTAATTAAAAAAAATATAAATTAATCACATTTCCGAACAATTTGGATTTGGTAGAATCTTTAGCATAACAAAGATCATGCTAAAAATATTACTTATTGTGAAATCGTACCAACAACCTTAAAATTATACAAATCAAACACAATTTAATGTCACTGTTGCTTCTCTGCTGCTTAAATAAATGCACTGATATTTTAAATGTCTGTTTTGCAAGATGCTAAATTACTTTTATAACATTTTTAGTTCCCATGAACCCAAAAAGTTATTTGTAATGTCTCACTGCATTAGTTGTGCAGTCACTGAACACAAATATTTCCCAGAATTCATAATTTGATTAAATCTGTAAAAAGCAGTTCAGCTTATGGGAGTTTCTTCCACTCACACGTTAGAATGTATCAAATGACCAATATATCAAAAAAATCCTCATTACTACTTTTATTTTTAGAGGATCTATCCATTGCATATTTACTGTATTTATTGGTATTGTTCCTCCCCTTGCCATAACCCTGGTGTGACAATCTTCTTCATGCACCTTAAGACTGACATCACCTCTTC